GGTGGGGCCTGCACCCTGCCTGCAACCCAGCAGTGGGGCAAGTTTTGCCCTGTCCCTGTGCGCCCTGCAACCTGAACCCTGCCTGCACCCGGCAGGCCGAACCTGTGCGGCACAGTTCACCATTGGGAGAAGTAGCTTTTTCAAACCACCTGCACTCCCACTGCAAATGTGGCCTGTTGCAGAATATTCTGAGCCCAGACACGTTCGGTGTACCGGGTGCCGGTACTCCCATTTGTGTACTTGGAGAATGGGCGGTGGGCAGGTTTAGTGGACAGGCTGCAGGCGAGGTGCGAGGGGAAGGCAACAGATTCTTTGAGGGACAAAAAAATGATGAATATAGTGCAGGCATTGCAGGTGCCTCTGTGTTTAGGGATTCGTTTTGTCTTTCGTTTTCACGTTACCTTTGATTTCATAAAAAAAAGAGGTGGGAAACCTTACAACAACCCAGGACCTGGGGTGAGGTCCCACTTTTCATGGAGGAAAAGATGTTTGCCGCACTCATTGGTATCTATGGCCAATATATATATTCCCCGTGATATATATCCCCCGTGATCATTGTTTTCTTTCTTTCCGTTTCTTTTTAAGGTCCTGAGGCCCCACCCACCCAGACTAGTTTTTCCCTTTTGCTTCCCCTGCTCCACCATCTCGAGGCACATCGAGGACCCAGACAGATCTACCAGACAGCAATTGCAGGCACCACCACCACGCGGACAACCCAGCAAGCCCTGGTTGAAGCCATGAAGGACAAGCCTTGTCCCATGAGTCAGCCTGTATCCCCCCCCTCTGTGCCCTGGCACCCGCAGTGTCTAATGGCTTCCCCTCTGGCCAAGCCTAACCTTTGACAGCCCCCCTGGGCTATCTGGGTACACTAGCCTATTGCGATACTACTGTTTTTATCAAAAACAAAACCAGTTAAGTGGGCCACAGGGGTAACGCTGCATGCCAATATCTTTTGTTTTGGTGCACTGTACGCCTTTGGGACTTCAGATCAGCGGCCCATATGGCCTGAGACCATGCTGTTTTGCGAAATGTGTTCAAGCATGTTTTGGTATTGAGGAATGAGATGTCATGTTTTGCAGCCGTCAATTTTCGGTTGTCGAACAGTTTGTCTTCAAAGGGCAAGTTTGTCAGAGTCGTTATGCTATTTTTTTCCTCGCAGTTTGCAGATCTCTGGTATTTGGTTTTATGTTTTCCGCCCTATGGCTGTTTTTGTTTTATACCCTATTTTTTTTTTTCTTTTTTCGAGAGCGCAGGCGGGAAGTGAGCTGTGTGGTGGACCACAGAAAGTGGGGCGGGTGCGCTTGTTTTGCAACGTGACTAGCCTGTTTTTTTTGGGTTTGACAAGGGAGACGGCTTTGCAGTATCATCGTCAAAATGAGAGGCCCTATGGATGGTCGTAGGATCCTTGGGATTGATGGTGGTATATGTTTGTGGTTTTGGGTCCAGTGTCCTTGGCATCGACTGTGGTATGGGCTAACGGTTTGGGTCTAGGCTGTCAACAACAAAGGGCAGTGGCGTTGCGGAACCGGCATTGAATTGAGATGACCCATGAATGGTTGTGGGGTCCGTGGGATCGATGGTGATACGGGTTCACCGTTTTGGTTGTCAACAAGAACATGGTGGCGTTGTCGTACGGGTTCACGGTTTATCTATGCGTCAGAGAGAGAGAGAGAGAGAGAGAGAGAGAGAGAGAGAGAGAGAGAGAGAGAGAGAGAGAGAGAGAGAGGACCGATTGTTACCTACATCCACAACGACTTGCGAGTGATACGAGGGATGAAGGGGGAGTTTGGTGTGCAGGGGGAGGAGCCTAGGCGGGGTACCAGGCATACGGGGTTAGGTTGAGGAGCACTGTCACCGCTCCCCGGACATTCCAGGAAATGGGATGTCGATCGGCACACACACACACACACACAC